CAATTTTTACTCAAGTTACAGCTTGCACGGACGGACGGACAGACAGACATCCGGATTTCAACTCTACTCGTCACCCTGATAACTTTGGTATATATAACCCTATATCTGACTCTTTTAGTTTTAGGACTTGCAAACAACCATTATGTGAACAAAACTATAATACTCTCTTCAGCAACTTTGTTGCGAGAGTATAAAAATAAAGCGTCATTCTGATTTGAAAAGTAGAAGAGGTAACTACGCATACATCACACACATTGACCGATATTTTCTGTCAAAAGTCAACTATAGGTGCTGTGGTCCATATACATATTTCTTCGATTTGGACAATTTGTGGCCATAAAGCATACTTTGAAGGCACTATTCGTGCAAAGTTTTATCCCGATGTATTCATTCATACTTGACACTGCTGAGGTACACTTGAGTACATATTTTCAAGCTATTTGATATTTATACATATGTATATAAATATACACTAAACGACAAGTTTGGCATAATGTTTATTAGAATAACGAAAACTAGTGTATATAATATATGGGAGTGGTGGTAATTCGAAGACTAAATTCAAATGTTTATTAATCTAAAGTATTTCCAATATTATACGTTCAGTTTAAAAGGACAATCAGAAAAAATGTTAAATCTTATATTTTATATATATGGCAGATTAGGCTTGTATTGCCCGATTTAAATATTTTTGGCAATAACATACCAGTAACAGAATACAATGCTCCCTGAGTTTTAATAATGTAGCTCCCATAACAACGCTAATACACAAGGAGTAATGTCAACCGGATGTTTGAAAATCCTGATATAATATTAGTTATATGGGGCAAGTTTTCACCTAGCTTATATATTTGCCGATATACATACTAATGTGATATAAAGTAAGCCGGCAGTTCGAAAATAATTGTATGAGGCATATCGATGCTAAGCGAAGTATTGACTTTTGTTATACAGACACACCCTTATCAGAAGAAAAAAGCGGGCGGGGCTTCAACCCAATTTCATCCATTTTCACATGTTTGTATAGCTGAAAATATTTGTCATGCTAGCACTTTCTCAAGATTTCGATTCGTTGTAAGATTATAGTTCTATGGCTTAATTTACAGCTTAGTTATGAGTTGCTAAAGAGAGTATTATAGTTTCCCCCACGGCGGAAGTGTGCGGCGAGTGGAAAATTAGAATGCCTACCTTGACGCCTTCCAATGCATCGACACAGAAGGAGCCTATTTTGAAAGTTTTTAAAGAATTGTAACGATTGGACTATTAAGTGAACTCTTTTACTCGTACCTACATACATGTTGCCACAGCATAAAAATGTTGGGAAAAAATTAATTCATTATTCGATGAAGCGGTGAAAGGATTGCGATCATATTTGGTTTATTCTTAACATATATTATAGGTCGCTATATAACTATATTTTAATTCATATCCAAGACATAGCTACTAAAATAAACATAGTTACCTCAACTTACTAAATTCAATATATTGTTTGTATTTCTACGGCTTTGATCCTTGCTAGAGTAAAAAATGTTCAAATCCACAAGAGCTTAGGTCTTTCTTACTTGTTTATTATAGCTATAATTAGATATTAAAAGAAACAAAATACATATGATTCCATATATTTAACATAAAACCACATATTTATCTTAAGTGTGTAGTGAATACACTATTTCATTATGACTTTACGAATTGCAATACTTTTTTTTAGGGATAAACAATTTTTGTGATGATGTTCAATTCATGACGACGCATGAAGTGTCTTTTTACTGGCGGGTGTGTTGGGCATTTCTTACTCCATTGTCAATGATCATAATTTTTGTATACTCGCTGTCATCCATAGAGCCTTTGACTTATAGTGCCAAGCTATATCCAGACGCTGCAAATGGTAAGGCTAATTCAAAGTCATATTTAAAAATAACCTAATACACTCCTAATATACTGAATCGACTTTAGTAAAATATGTTATATCCAAGCAACTCCAGTTTAATCTGACATAAAGATAGGATAGTTTTTATCTCAATTATGTGAATGTCCAAATAATTCAAATATAAAAATATATGTATCTTAATACTCCCGTGTCTAGAGTATTTGAAATATTTTTCTAATAATATATACATACATGCTTAAAAATTAAAATCTTTTCTGTCGTCCGATCACCATACTTAAGCTACTTAATTAAATTTCGTTAAATTTTCTATACTCATTTTGCAGGTTAATGAAAATATAGAAAATTTTACAGAAGCTGTGAAAAAAATTTGTATACATAAGCATATTAAAAATAATAAATAATTATAATTTTCAGTAAAATGCCAAGTACAAAATTCATTATATTACCGACTTTATTCCTAAATAATATTTTCGCTGTATGTAATATTTTATACTTTTTTATTATTTATACATATATGCTTATAAGAACAGAAATTCTTTGATTTATGTTTTGTTTGATTTCAAAAACTAGTGCATTAGGCAAAGCGACGTACTATACTTACATGTAATGTATGTACTATATGTATTTGGTGTGTAGATATCAGGATGTCTAGAAGTAATTTCTAAAAGTAATGCACAGTCAAAGAAACGGTTACATACACCGTTCGATTTTGCGATTTTGGCAAATCTGTTATGAAAATTAATAAAATCATTATTTAAATATTCATTCAATGTTTAGGACATTTATGTAGTTCAAAAATCATTAAAATCACTAGGAAAGGGTCGTCATATAGCTAAGTATTTGGATCCTCCACCTTGGGCATCAATCACTGCTTGAAAACGTCGGGACATTGAAGTCACCAAATTTACTGTTACAACGATACAAGCTCGGGTAACTGGACGGCCACACTTGCCATTAACAGTTCGAAATACTCAATACATATATTAATCTTTTTATATTAACACACTCCTTATTATCGAACTGGTAAGAGTTTTTCGTAAGATTATCGTTAATGAAATCAAAAATTTTAAACCACAAAAACAAGTACAAGATTAAGCCAACCGCCATATTATAACGTAATTAAAAGAAGAAGTATAAAACAGCATCTAAATTGTAAACAAAAACGCAATTTTGTTAAAATTAAAATGCAAAAAAAAAAGAAAAACAATTTTTTTTGAAAAAAGATTACCTTACTGACCTCTTAAATCGTGAAATACACTTAATTTATTAGTTTATAACACAAAAAACTAATAAATAAACATAAACATAAAAGTGTTTGACAAAATCGGACTATAGCGTCCCACGTACCCAATATATTTATCCCAGTGTGTTTTGCTGACTATTTGTCCCAAATATCGGTCTATCTGTGAAATATGTTATTGAAATGCGGAAAAAAGGAATTTGTGGGAGCGTATTTAAACAGTGTGCATTTGTACCTAAAATGTATAAAATCGTGTGAAAACTAGCTCAAGTCCCTAAATAACTAACAAAGCATATGCACCTGAAGGTATTTCCGCGGCTACTATTTGACGAAATTGCAGGAGTGTGGAATTTTCTTACTTATTTTACATGATTCTATTTGAACTACCGAAGCTAAATTTATTGCGATTAGCCAGTTTTTAACAGGTTTGTGCATGATGAACAAAATGTTATAAGTGAGAAAAAATTTCCAACCTAATCGTTTTTTTTTTTTGAATAGCCTCCAATGAGTTGCCAAACTGTAACAAAAACAAAAAAAAAAAAAACAAATCATTAAAATAGGGCGTTACACCATTAACATCCGCATCAGTTTTTAAATAACATATTCAGTAGCCGGACATCTCCCATAACCACAAAAATGTCATGAACACAATGTGTTCATTATTACCTTCTTACAAAAGCAATTCTATAACCGGACATGAGTACTTTTCTATGGCCGGATACGGACACAATTTTGGTAATATTTCGTTCCAATTATCTCTGATAAATAGAAAAGATTTAATAAAATTTGCGAATTATATTGTGTCCAATGTATACTTTCCGTTTTTTTTGACTTCTTACTAATTTTTTTTATTTTAAAACAGTTCTTTTTATGAACAATACGTAATATAATCAGAGCAAAACAAAAATTGTGTTGCGCTGATGCAGTCTGGCTGGCGGTCTCTCAACGGAAACTAATGGGATAATTGTCATTCATTCACTCCTGCGACACTGGCTCCCATTTATTAGTTCCATAGTAATATAGATCTGAGTTGCAGCTTCTGGCTTTAAGAATACATTATACATACTCGTTTTTGCCACGCCCCCATAAATGGACTTACCCGGACAAAAAGAGTACGACGGTAATTGTCCGGTTATGAGGAACATCACATTTTTAAAATCAATTTGCACTTGCACGTATGGCCATAAAAGAAAGTTCGAACTCGAAAATTTTCGGTAAAAATACGTATTCTGGCAACTAATTTGTAGCCGCAGTTTAAAGGCTCATGTATCATTTGTGTTCCATATCTCGTTTTATAAACATACAATGGGACCGGTACGTGATTCACTTCGTACAAAGGGAAATAATAAAATTATTTTATTTTAACATCAAATTCATTTATTCAAACAAAAAAAAAATTTATTACTTGCTAGCTATTTTAATACTTAATTGTAATCGTTTGAATAGAAATGGCATATCAGTTGAAATCATAGGGATACGCAGAGTCAAAAAACGTGTCCTTTTGATTTAGCAGTTAAGAACAAAGCTTCAATCAAATTTGGCAACAACTGTTTCACTGCCAACAGGCACAGGTTGCAAGAGTTTGTATAATACTTTTTTAGCACCAAAAAATGTCAATTGAAATGTCGAATTTCATTGTTGAAAATGACTCAATAAAAGCTTTGACATTTGAGATGTCTCAAAAATTAATGAATACAATGGTTCGGGTGGAGTTTTTAATGCTGGCAGTCTCAGTTTGGCATTATCATAACACATCCCGGGCGAATGTGCACAATAGGCGTACATACCATAACCAATCTGATTGTTATAATTAAAAACAGCACAGATCAATTCAGCCAAAATAGCAGGAAGTATTTGTAATCGCCGTTCAAGATTCAGTACAACAGTTTTATTTCGTACTGTTCGACTGATTTCGTGTAAACTTCACATAAACCATTTGCCAAATAGTCCAAACAAATACTCATTCATTTAAGAACAAAGCCTAAACATTTGGTTGGAATAGTTGAGTCCGTTCTTAAGTTATAAAATTACAATGAAAAGCGGCATTACTTTTTATATATGTACATATATATAGCAGGAGTCATGTGTAGAAGTTCACGCAAGTGAGGAAAGTTTACTGATCACCATTCACTTGGGAGTGGCCAGAAACGATTCCTTTACATATGACTCAAGCAGCTCACGACTTCCGGTCCTTGACCAAGTATCCTCTGGGTAGCCAAGAACATCCGTTTGAAGGTGAGCTAAAGTGAGAAGGCGAAACATTCCCTGCATAGGGTTGTGCGATGGGTTTGGAACCCGCCACGTAAAAAAACCACCCGAATGACAACGCAACAACAGCCTCGGATGAGAGACCCCACTTTTGATGACCACCATGGCAAACGAAATAAGGACTACGAATTGAGGGCATGCACCTGGAATGTCCGGTCCCTTAATTGGGAAGGTGCCGCTGCCCAGCTGGTTGATGTCCTCGTAAAAATA